AGCTGGTTGTACTTAGAGGCAGCAGATACTGCAATTAAGAACTGACACCTGGCTGTGCTATGTACCAGTGTGACTATGTGGAAGTCCCATGACCTCTCTGGATCTCTGCAAGACTCCAGCAAAGGGGTGATAATACTACATGAACTGTTGTGGAACTCAAAGGAGAAAATGTGTGTAAGTGGCATATAATAATATGCTGATGAGTGCCAAATGTCTATTTCTGTCACCTCCTCTGTCCTGTCATCTCTAAACTCCATACCTTCCTGTCAGCATCCCCTCCTTGGCATCCCTGGATGAATGTACAAGGGGCATCTCCGACTTCCTGTGCCTAAGATTGAACTCTCATATGCCACTGCTAAACCAGTTCCTCCTCCATTCTGCCCCGTGTCATGTCAGCTAACAGTGTCCCCATTCTCAATGTCATCTTTGACTCCACCCACTGTCTCCAACACCAAGACTGTTAACAAGTTCTGTCACTTGCCTTTTGAGCTATATGCAGGATTTGACCATTTCTGTTACTCTCCTGGTTCAAGCCACCATCCTCCCTTACCTAAATTATTACCACTGCCTCCCACAACACCATCCATGCTTGGTCCCCCATTAGTCTTGTTACCTCATCTCCTACCACTGTCCCCTTTGTTCATCTGCTCCGTCCCAGCTCACCTGCTATTCCCTGAATGCCTCCAGGGCCCTTGTGTTTGTGCTTTCCTCTGTGCTACTGGGCCACGTGGCCAAGCTCCCACCTTTAAGTCTTTACTGAAAAGCCAGCATCAGTAAGGCGTTCCCTAGACACCCTGCTGCAAATTGCAGTAACGAGGCTTCATATATCTTATTCTCCTTCCTGGCTTTAGTTTTATTCACTGGCACACTCTAGGTTTTGTTTATGTATATTGCTCATTGTCTGTCTTCCCTATCAGAACAAGACTGACCTGGGTCATTACCTGAATATCCTGATCTATAAGGGCACGAGTTTTGTCTCTCAGTGCTAGGGCAGAGCCTGGCACAGGGAAGGCACTTAAGAAATTAGTTAGTACAGCATGTCACAGAGGAGAAATCCTCTCAAGGTCACAATTAAATAATCCACTCAAGGTCACACAGCTAGGAAGTGTTCTGTGCTGCTTTATAACATAAAAAACCCACTTAGCAAAAAGCTGGGGCAACACCAATGTCCTTCTCCAGCCCTCCTCCCTACTGCTAGTTGGAGAAAGGAAGTGTTACAAGTGAGGAAGGACTTGATGCTGGAGGACCTGGTAGAGATTTTCTGTGGACAGTTGGCAAAGGTGTAAGTGCAATTAAGCAAGGAAGCAGGGAGCCATCTTGGTGCCAGCTTGTTGCAAGGTAGAGATTTTCTGTGGACAGTTGGCAAAGGTGTGAGTGCTGTTAAGCAAGGAAGCAGGGAGCCATCTTGGTGCCAAGCTTGTTGCAAGGCATGGAGGCCACTGACTGTAATTAAATGGAGTCCAGCTGCTCCAGGCTGACTGAGTGTGGGAGGGAGAGCTACTCAGCCACATGGGAAAGATTTGCTGAGTCTGAAATGATTGGGGGGAATTTTTAAAGAGTTTTTGGCATGAAAATCCATCACACTCACAATCTGGCTCAGACACGTCATGCCTCCTAACCATTCCTTCTTCTTGCATCCATTCTCCTGGACACACCAGGAGGAAGCCTAGCCAACCACCGGCATGGACAAACAGAGCAGCCCTGTAACTGGACCTATGGCAGCTTTGCTGGACTGAAGACAGTGATCTGTCTTTAAGGAATAGCTTTTTTTGAGGAAGAGGGAATGTGACTGAACATGGCTGTGCTAGTTGGTAAAGCCCAGGAATTTTCTCTTACACCTGAAAGTCACACTGTCCTTCCTCAGGGACTCAACTGCCTTGGCTGAGTGGCACTTTGAGAACTGGAGCCAGGGCCAACAGGTGGCCCCTTGGACAGTGAAGAAGGAGGAGGAGGCAGGGGAGGCCATGAGTGAAAGTTGAATCCTACAGGCTGCAGCCAAACAGAGATGGCCAATTCTACATGCCTGGGGTCAGGCAGGGATCCATGATGCCTCTCTAAGTCTCTGGGTCTTGATCATTGGAGTATGCCAGTGTCAAGTCTGATGCAAGGATTAGGTGAGAGGCCCATGACACACATAGTCCACCTTCCAGCACAGAGCAAGCCCTCATCTTCCTTTCAGGACCAAAGAGGGGTCAAAACATTGGTTGGTTTGGAACAGGACGAGAAGAGGCTCCTCTGAAGAGCTGGGTTATAACCCAGAGTGCAGGGAAAGAAGGAACCTGTGAGTGACAGAGTGCCTTCTCTTAGCAATGTCAGCTGTTTTTTTCCTTTGTAGAGGTATAAACCAGGAGCGGCAGCCCCCCTCGCTTTCCCTCCTCTTCCATTTAGCTTTCAATGTCCCTTCCTCTTTTTTTGTTTTTAACTGACACGAGGTCTCACTCTGTAATCCAGGCTGGTCTCAAACTTGCCATCGTTCTGCCTCAGCCTCCCAAGTGCTGGTCTCACAGGTGTGTGCCACCACACTCGACTTGACCCTGTGTCTTCAAACGCTCAGCCCCAGTCCCCAGGCCCCAGGCCCATGGCCCGTGCAAGACCTCTGTGCTCCACGCAGATGCCCTCCTCAGCTTATGCTCCTCTGCCTTGGTTCTTTTCGGAACTTGCCCTCACCCAAAGGTTCTGCCTCACTCAAGTGTTCACCATATCAGGGGCATCCTGAAGCCAATGGCTGGATGATGTGGGTTTCATTTTGGGATAATTCTTAAGATGATCCAGCCCAAAGCACCCTATTGAATTCACGGAAGCTCATCGTGAACTCCTCCCTCCACTCAGTGCTGCCTTCCTGTCTTCTTTAGAATTTTGCCTTTGAACCCCTTCCAAAGGCCTTCAGCATGTGGTCTGAGCGAGTCCACTTGAATACATGTCCGTTAGATGTCTTTTTCCCTCCCTCCGACTGTCTAGGTGCCCACTTTCCACTAAAATGCAGCCATGCTGTATTCTAGTGGCTGGGTGCTGGTGGATTAATGTTGCCCAATAAAAATAATTATTAGGAGAGGTGGACACTGGTGGCTCACCACTATAATCCTAGCTAATTGAAGACTGAGATCAGATGGATTGTGTTTCAAGGCTAGCCCTGGCAAAAATGTTTGAGGGACCCCATATCAATGGAAAAACCAAAAAGCTGGGTGTGGTAGTGTTGCGGGAAGAATGTTGGACCAGTGAGAACAAGACTCAAACCCAGGTGGTTGGAGGAAAGGAAGATTTATTACGCTAGCTGGCCAGCACCCTGGATCTCTCCAAAAATGGCATCAGCCCTGTAGCTCAGGGCTGTGGGGTTTTTATGCCTCAGAATATGGAAGCAAGCAAGTGGGAAGGACAAAAGCAGACGTGGCAGTTAGCTTCTCGCTAGAAGGTTACAACTTATCACACTAGCACAAGGGTACAGTATACCCCATTAACACGCCTGTGAAACCGGGGCCCGGCCGGGGATGGAGCTTGCCTTCAGATCTTTCCCCTGGGTTTCTTTATCAATAGCATGCACCTGTCATCCCAGTGATGGTGGGAAGTATAAAATGGAAGGACTGTAGCTCAGGCCAGCCTGGGAAAAAGCTAGACCTAGCTCCAAAATAATAAGAGCAAAAAGAGTTGGAGGTGTGGCTCAAGCAGTAGAGCACTTCCCTAGCAAGTGTGAGGCCCTGAGTTCAAACCCCAGTATAGCCAACAATAATAAAAATAATTATTAGAGTAGCTGATACTTATATACAATTAGCAATATACAAAGCACACTTGCATGCATGATTTCATTTGCAAGGCAGAATAGCATGATGGCCTCTGAAGTGATTCTGCCTGGATTTGAATTTTGGCCCTACCACTTGTTAGTCTGTGACTTCAGGCCAGACTCTTTCTTCTGTCAGATGGGAATAATAACGACCCCTTCCTCAGAGTGTTTTTGTCGGAGATAAATGAGTCAATACATGTAAAGTTCTCAGTCCTGCCACATGGTCGGTTCTCAGTAAACAACTACTAGATACACAGGCAGAAATCATGTTAGCAATGGTTTGCTTTTATGGTGGCCCTGGGGTTTGAACTCAGGGTCTTACGCGTACTAGGCAGGCGCTATACCAGTTGAGCCATATGCCCATGCCTTTGGCTTTACTTATTTTTCAGATAGGGTCTTTTACGTCTGGGCCAGCTTGGACTGTGATCCTCTTATTTACACTTCCTATGTAGCTGGGATGACAGGCACACTGCACTATGCCAGCTTTTTATTGATTGGGTGGGGGGGTCTTGCTAACTTTTTGCCCTGGCTGGCCTTGAACTCTGATCCTCCCAATCTCTGCCTCCCAAGTAGTTGGAATTATAGGTGTGAGCCACCACATCCAGCTGGTTTGCTTTTTAATGATTTTTTTTTTATGTAGCATGCTTGTATCTATACTTCTTGTTTTTTTTAAATACTGGTTTGAAATATAATCTCTGATGGACAGAGAACATTTTAAAAGTGGGGTCACCTACCTTCTCACTGTGCTAAGCTAGTACAAAATCATGCACCTAAAATTATTCAAGAAATACTGAATATTTCTGGAAATTATTCAAGAAAACATGTCTATCAGATTGACTATGAAAAAATCTTGGGAAGCTACCTCAAACTTACTGCTCATAGACTAAATATACCTCTAAGACACACAGGTTTGACCAGCACAATGTTGATTATTTTATGTTGAAATTCTTCTGAAGCATGCTACAGGACTGACCACTTCTTATAGTATTCTTCCTGCCCTCATCCTCAAATTTGTGTCACCTGCCTAGCCTTTGTAGGTATATGGGTTTGTGACCCGCTCCCACACGGAGTGACACACAGCAGGGTTCTCCTTACATAGAAGGAGTTGAAGATGGTGACTGGTGCAATTCCCTCCTTGAACTTTTTCCTTTCCTAGTAGCTTTCTTAGCCTGTCCCCACCTCCATGGACAGGTGCCTGATGACACCATGGCGTTCCCCCTCACAGGTGCGGTAAGATCAGCGTGGTGCTCATGTGCTTTCTGTTCCCTGCTCTGGTGCCCTGGTATTATCTGGGCGGAGAGTCTGTGGAATTCCTACTTCTTGGTCTCCATCCTCTGCTATGCCAGCTCCCTCAGTGGCGCCTGGCTGGTCAACAGTGCCACCCACATGTATGGAAACCGGCCCTATGACAAGAACATCAGCTCTCAGCAGAATTTACTTGTCACTCTGGGTGCCATTGGTAAGTAGCAGTGTTGAGAACTAGTGGGGAGAATGGCAGCCTGGGTTTTATTGACTTCCCAGTGGTTTTATGGGATCTGTAAAAAGAGAGAGTGGAGTGGGTTGAGCTTTGGGTTTCAATCCCGGCTCTTGGACAAGTAGTGTGATTCCTCAGCTTTCTTTTTTGTTCAATGGGAAATAACAATGCCTACTTCACAGGAATACTCAGACTGCTTGGTACAGTGTCTGGCACATAGCAGGTAATCAATAAATCTAGTATATTTTTTTAAAACCACAAAATACTCGGAAAGGAGAAACAGTAGTCAACTTTTCTTTCAAACTGCCCTGATTGGCTATCAATCATTTGGAAGAAAAAAAGCCATTAAACAGAGAGATGGAGAAAAGGAGGCTTGGCCTCTTATGGGTCCACAAAATGGTTAAGAGCGAGCCCAGTGGAGTCCAAAGAGTTTGATTTATTCCTGGATTCTCTGCTTACTTTCTGGGCAAGTTATCTGGTTTGTCTACATTTCATGTCCTTAACTGTAAGTGAAGATGATAGATGCCCTTACATCGTCCTAGGGTCATTGGAGGGTAAGATGTAGTGTTTATAGTGGTGCTTATCATGCAATAAACCTTCTGAGATGTTGCTTTTATTGCTAGCCTTATGGTATTAGGCAAGTTACTTGTCCCCTCTGTGCATTTATGTCCTCGTTTTAAAAGGGGGGTAATCACAGTAGCTTTTGCAAAGGCGTGAGGATAATAGATGTCGTTGCATGGTAAAGCACTTAGCCCTGTGCCCAGTGCGCTGTAAGTGACTGATAAATGTTAGCTGCATCTTTGTAGAAGCAACTCGGGCTTCTAAGATGGCTGAGCCTTGAGATCACACCCAGGAAGGGAAATTCTTACTACTAGGCAGCACGATCTCTGTGTCACTCAGTGATAAGTTTCCACTACTATTTCATAAGTCATCCATTTCAGACCTCATGGATCCTGAAGCTCTTGTCAAATTGTGTTTCAAGGTGAGATAAACACCAAATTTAGGTGTGAGATAACTGTATAAGAAAGCAGAAAAGGGCCTTGGAATGCCAGAGGAGTATCTGATCCCTCCTGTGATTTTCTCCTCACCCTTCACCTTCTGAGAGGACTATATTGAGGGGAGCCATGTCCAGTGTTAATTCTAAGAGTAGACAGAAGTTGGGACAAGGTGTACCATCACATGTTATAAAGGGACAGACGGGACAGGAAACCCAAAGAACATGGCCCTGAAGATCTGGGCATTAGTTCAAGTGTAGCCATGCCAACACTGGACCCCAGTCAGTTTGCTTCATAAAGATCTTTGCAAAGCCAGTGGGACACCTGGTTGTCCAGTTGAGTGGGAGTGCATACGAAGTACCTGTTTCTGAAAATAGGAAGAAGAAACTTCCCCATCCACAAAAAACTCTAAAAATAATGCAATTTAAAAATAAAATTACAGAGCTTGGATCAGTGTATCTGATGTACTCTCTGTAAAGCAGACTGTTTCAGACATGGCCAACACAACTATATAATGATCATAGCCACTGAAGAAGAAAGGCAAAAGTCCGACAGCTCCTCAGACAGTTAACAATAGTTATTATGTGATCCTGCAACTCCTTTCCTAGATTTATATCCAAGAGGAATGAAAATGTATGTCTACAAAAACTTGTACCTGAATGATCATAGCAACATTATTCAAAGAAACTAAAAAGTGGGAAAGAACCTAAATGTCCATCACCTGATAGATGGATAAATATAATGTGGTTTTAGCCATACAAAGAAATAACATTCAGCAGTGAAAAGGAATAGTTATAATGCATGGTATAGCATAGGTGAACCTTGAAAACATGATAAGTAAAAGAAGCCAGTCACAAAGGACTGGGTGATTGTATAATTATACTTAAATAAAATGTCCAGAACAGGCAAATCTATTGAGAAAGAAAGTAGAGCTGGGAGGGACTGAGAGGAGCTTGGGAAAATGGCTAAGAAGAGAAGAGGTCTTTGGGAGACATGAAAATATAAAATATATTGTGGGGATGGATGCACAACTCTGTGAAAATGCTAAAAGCCATTGGATTGTGTACTTCAAAAGGCTGAATTCATGATATATGATTATATGTAAAAATGAAGCTGTTTTTAAAAAAAAGATCATCAGAGAAATGCAGAGTGAAATCACAATGAGATATCACATCACTCTAGTTAGAATGTGGACAGGATGCAGAGAAAAGGAAGTCTTTGAAAGCTGTTGGTGGAATTGTAAATTAGTACAGCCATTATGGAAAATAGTATGACAGTTTCTCAAAAAATTTTAAATAGACCTAACAATCCCACAACTCAATACACAGCCAAAGGAAATGAAACAAGCATATCGAAGAGACATCTGCACCCCATGTTCCTTGAAGCATTATTCATGACAGCCATATGATACAGAGTCAACCTAAGTGTTCATCAATGGGTGGCTAAAGAAATTTCAACACACACACACACACACACACACACACTCAGGCACACACACATGCACACACAAAGAGGGAATGTTCTTTAGCCTTGAAAGAAAGAAATCCCGTCATTTGTGGCAACATGGATGAACTTGGAGAATATAATGCTAGGCGAAATAGGCCAAGGCCAGTCACAGAAAGACAAATCTCACTTACATGTGGAATCCACAAGGTTGACTTCATAGAAGTAGAGAGTAGAATGGTGGTTACCAGGGGGTAGGGGAGCTTAGGAAGTATTGGTCAAAGAAGACAAAATTTAAGTTAGAAAAAAATAAGTTGAGGTCTATTGTTACAGCATGGTGACTATACTTAAGAGCAGTGGATTATGGTTTGTATTGGTATATATTTATTGTATGAAATAGTGGGTTTTATTATGACATATTCATACATGTATTGTGTTTTTTGAAATTTTCTGAGAACAGATTTTAAGTGTTCTTACCATTAAAAAAAATGAATGTCATGTGTATGTTAATTAGCACAATTTAGCCATTCCACATTGTGTACATATTTCAACACATGTTGTATGTGATAAATACATATAATTATATTTGTAAATTTAAAAAATAAATAAAAGAAGAAAGAGAAGCCCTCAGTCCTCTCATAAATACAGTTGTTTAAAAAAGACACAAGGGAGAGGGGGAAAGAGGGAGAACAATGGAGGTAGTAAATCTAAGATACATTGTAAGCACTTATGTAAATGTCACAATGTATCCCCCTATAAACTAATATATGCTAATAAAATCATAAAAAATAAAAAGACATAAGAGAGGAAAGCCACTCATAGGAGAGGAAGAATGGTGTCTAGGTAGTTTGGATTCTTAGCGATCCAATCCTTAATTCACTTACTATCCAAATAATTCTCACTTCCCTCTTCTAAGCTCTCAAGAAGTCTTCTTGTAATCGCTCCAGATCAGAGACCATTTTCCTTTCATGAGCAAGAGTCAAAATGGTGATCTTTTATCAGCCTGTAGCAGTTAGCTGAAGTATAGCTCTGGAATCATGGTATCATGTCTGCAATTCACACAGGAACACAACTCCTGTTACTTTACTCTGTTATCTGTTTTGCAATTTTCTGTTCATGTTTAGTTTATCTACCCAGTTGCGTGAATACCTCTGAGGGCTGGAACTAAGTCTTCTGCCCCTAGTAGAGTGTGGCAGGCAGTCTTACACATGGTAGATCTGCAAAAAATCTGTGATTAAAAAAAAATCTGTGCAGGGAGGAGGTGATCTAGTTATTTCAAGGCCCACTCTGTCTTCCAGGTGAAGGCTTCCACAACTACCATCACACCTTTCCCTTTGACTACTCCGCCAGTGAATTTGGCCTAAATTTCAACCCAACTACCTGGTTCATTGACTTCATGTGCTTTCTGGGGCTGGCCACTGACTGCAAACGGGCCACCAAGCTGATGATCGAGGCCCGGAAAGCCAAGACTGGAGATAGCAGTGCCTGA